CCACTCTCTGGAATAGAGAAACTTCGAACGTCAACTGGCATGGTCATAGCGTCTTGAACAAGTGGGAGTGTTGAACTTCTACCATTTCAGGCGTTATCTTATCAGGCTTGCCTGGTATGGACTTGTATTATGTTCTGCAACGCTACGTACCGTATTGTACGCTTACTCTCTTTCGCTTATCTATAGGACTCGATTATCTCTCGTCCTATCTCAGTAGATTAGATACCGGACATCCGGGCCTCCGCTCCTTAAGCATATGATATTACCGGTTACCTGGAGTTCCGGATTCCGTCTTACTAACGATGACTCACGTAGATTACGCTTATGACTCATCATGACTCGACCATCAGGTGATGGTCTCACACATGTATATATACTGGGCTGGATACGCCCTCTAATGTATCGTTCCTTCCTCTGCTTTCCTGTGTGCCTAACAGGACTCCCTCAGCAGTTCCCTCAGAGGTTCGTTCACTTGCCTTTACAGCCACTTCCAATTCACTCCTTCAACAGTTTATCGCTTCTTTCTTTGTGTCCCCTGGTAGCCCTGTTTAACGGGTTTCAATTGACTCTGTGCACTGGACCTTCACCTCCACCATGCTGTTTATACCCATTGTCGCCTTGTTGAGTGTACACCCTGTGATTTGTGTCGGAACATGACGAATCCCGCTCTTGCAAGCTCCGCGATGCATGGTAGATGTGCATTCCCAATGGATAGTATCACGTATGGTTCGTGCGCTGTGATTGATCGGGCTGGGATCAAAATGGGACGAGCAGGTACATCCTTGAGTGAGCTCCTCGTGTCCACTTCTGTGCATTCTTGCACTGTGCTAAGTGAGGGTCCGGTCTACATTGGGTCCCGCCCTCGCACACGTTAAAGTAGATCATAAAAATGAGGACCCTACTGATTTATAACAGTAAACACATAGCACTAGCTCCTTGGCAATATAGCATAATGCATTGCGGATGGTCTGTACTTCCCAGGAAATGCCCGCAATGTTTTCCACATAGATCCTCCTAAGGGTCTTCGAATGGGAAACCCAGTTGGTGCAACAAAGCACAATCACATTTATTAAGCAGACGTACCAGAAAAGGAGTGATCTAGGTATATAAAAACAGCTTGTTTGTAGCCATGGGCGTCTATATGGGCGCTCCCGTCGCCACCTCCTCCTCCCTCCACTCGCTTCCTCAACTAAAAAGTGCACTTCGCCTCTCAAAAATGAAGACAAAAGGTATGCATGCCCACTACCCGGATCGAACGAGTGACCTCACCATTACGTAATCAACTGTGATTGGCCTGTTGAAAGGCTGTATGATACGAGTGGCGCGCTCTACCACTGAGCTAAACGGGCGATATGTTTCCATTACCCCCGCTGCATATGAATACACTGCCCAACGGCTGATTGTCAGACTCTCTACACAAGAGCATCTTGAAATGTCACAGAGACTAGCTTCAACGATACCGCAAAAAAGCCAACGGTAGGGCTGGACTTACGAGCTCGCGGTAGGGCACACAATGAATCGGAGGAGATAGGCTAACATTCAATTGTAGAATGTGTAATCCTCCATTCGAATTCGTAGTTTCGTACACACCTTCACCTTCTCTCGGGTGGTCGCCCCCTGCATCAAGCGAAGGTATTGGGCGGGAAGACCATGGGACCGGACACATCCGCTCGTTTCTGCTTGCCGCATAGCAGCTCGACGAGGGTGAGTGCGAACGGAAATGTTGTGCCTGTCCGACATTCATTTCATTAGCAAGGTGAAGTCCCCAGTGTGCAGCATCTTGACCGACGAGGCCAAGACGATATCTGATATGTGTATTTAAGCACCCGTACTCACCGGGACCACGACTGCAGGGATAACTCAGTCAACAACTGCAGTATGCGAGAACAGGCTGACTGCCGACCTAGTGACAAGCTTGCCGGAGACGACAACCGGCTCCTCGGAGTACTCATAATCTGCAGGAGACGTAGTTCAGCGATCAAGCCCAAGTTTGCGTCATGTCAGCCCATCCGCACCGGTGTCAAGCTGGCTCATTACACTGGGGTGCGACGTGACCAGCTGCCTCGGGAGACCAGATGACTTTGCCGCCAGGCTCCCTGTGTGCCGCCAAAGTCAGACAACCACCACACCTCAGGCCTCATCGCGCGCGCGCCGGCGACACATACCAGCGCAGATCATGCCAACATACTTGTCATTCTCCAAATATTCCCGCACCAAGTGCTGCACGGCCGAGTCGGTCGAGATCGTCTCTGCGCCCTTCGCGCCGCCAGGGATGACGAGCAGATCGTAGTTAGCCTACCAGCGACGCCATCAGCCATCTTCGTCCGTTCCACATTGCGAGGGTACACAACGTACGGGGACGGCAGCCTGCGGAGAGAACAGCTCGTCCGGAACGATCTTGATCCCGCGCGACCCGGTCGCGTATGGCGGGCTTGTCATGCCCTGCGAGGTAGCATCGGACGCGGCGACGTACGCAGACGTGCACTTCACACCCGCGCGCACGAGCGTGTCGTAAGTGATCGTACTGCAGTGCAATGTAAGATCAGGAGGTCGCGAGTTTGCACAGCCGAGCTATGCTCACAACTCCATCTCCTCTGTTCCGTCAGCAATGAGAATGAGTGCGGATGGCATCGCGAAGAGATTTCGATATCTCTGTGCAGGATCAAAGGCCTATCAAGCTGGAGTCCAAAGAGTTGGTCACGGAGCAATAGAATGATGTCATGGGTATGCATCGACCGCATAATCATCTCGTCTTTCAATCCGATATGGTGTAGTGGCTAACATTATCGCCTCTCACGCGATAGCCCGGGGTTCAATTCCCCGTGTCGGAATAGTGTTTTGCACCATTTTACAATGCTCAGACTTGAGGGATCGCCTATTTTGAATTACCAGAAACTCATATGCAAAGTAGTATGATGCAAAATGTGAAGGGTATCAAGAATGGGTTGTCACATTGCTACACGGATGGGTACATGAGGTGCTACTACACATCGTACAAAGCCCCGAAAGACTTTTCTCTCTTCGCTCGCGTCGTTGGTCGTCCATCATGGCCTGATAGCGATCTTAAGCGCACCACGGCTGTTCATCTTGTCGAGCGCGGCTTGGTAGTCCTCCAGCTTGAAGACGTCCGTGACCTGATTACCGGCTATGAGCACGCACAAGTAGGGCGCGAGACGGGGCAACGTACCATGCCCTTGACGTTGATCTTTCCACCGTCAAGATATGCAACCGCACGCGGGAAGCAGTAGGCCTGCGAGAACGATCCGATGATCTGGGGAGGGGCGTCAGTCTCCATATACAAGCAGCAGTTCATGGCATTGCATGCCAGCTCACCTTGATTTCGTCTCCAAAGATTCTCGACGGCGGCCAGTGCACGAGTGCCTTGTTCTCGTACACACCGTAGATCATGATCGTACCTCCCCTCCGCACATAGTTGATGCTCTCCTGCGCAAGCTTCTCCACGCCCGTCGCCTCGACGACGACGTCGAAGCCGTAGGGGTTGTCCCTCTTGAGCTGCTCCCACTGCGGACCAGGCTGCTGTCTGTCGAGCTCGATATATTCGTCCCCGGCGTTGAGCTGCTTCGCGATGTCCATCTTAATGCCCTTGTTCGCCGCGATAACGACCTTGTGGGCACCATTCAGCTTGAGAAGCTGGGCCAGGATGAGACCGGTCGGGCCAGCGCCGAGCAGGAGGACGTCGATGCCGACGGGCGGGTTCAGTTTGTCGAGACCGTGGATAGCGCATGCGGCAGGCTCGAGCAACGTCGACTCCTCGTCAGTGAGGTTGTGGATTTGATAGCACTTCTTCTGGTGGCTACACAACCGGTAAGACGAGAGAAGGAGATTCTAGGGAGAGTACGCACTAAACGATGTATTCAGCGAAACCACCATCCAACGTCACGCCACGGGCGTTGAAGTTCTCGCACAACACAGCCTGTCCCCGCCGGCAGTAGAAGCAGTCGTCGCACTGCAAACACGCATATTGAGAAGTCATTACGCGCATATATAAGCGCACAACGTACAGAGATGCCAACGTCTGCGACGACTCTGTCGCCAAGTTCAAAGCCCTTCACATTCTTGCCCTTCTCGATGACCTTCCCGATTGCTTCATGGCCGGGGATCAGCTGTTATCGCGGGGTGAGTTCCACTGGGCGGCCCGGGTATGCTGATTCACGCACGGGGAACTTGGCGATGAACTCGCCTTCGTGAATGTGGCCGTCCGTGCCGCAGACACCACAACAAGTGACTGTATGCGGGAGTGAGTTATTCGCAACGAAAGGCGGTGGGCCACTGACCCTTCAAGAGGAGATCTTCGTCGCCACACTTCGGGATCGGCACCTGCTTAATCTCGAATTTGCGGGGCTAGACAAACACGCGCTGCGATCAGACGGATCCCGCTACGGAATGACGCATGTACTTACAGCGCTGTAGTAGAGTGCGCGCATGGTTCCCTCAGGCATGGTGGATGTGTCTGTCGTCTGGAAAGAAGAAGGGATGGGGGTGAAGAGAAAGGCGGCGGGCGATACGGCGAGTGTGCTGCGTCGTATTTAAGCTATCTTGAGGGTATCGACTCGGAGCGCCGGGGTTGCTTTCTTCACTCGGGCCGGTCCCTGACGTCACGCTGAGCGAAGCAGAGGACGCGTCGCCAGGAGCCCCACTAACCCTGCCCCTTATGCAGTTGGCCGCTGCAGTTTCTCGCGAGCGGCACCCGTGTTAGCCGCACCCCCGTTTTCCATGCCCATCATCCGACGCACTGGCACAATGTCAGCAGGCCCCTAGTGCGCACGGACGCGGCCACAACCTACCGAGCTCAGTGTGTGACAATCGCCTCTGAGCCGCGATCTGCAGGGGCGCACAGTATTCGGAGTTCGGTGTCACCGGCCCAACGTCGCCACGACAATCCTCATCTGTCGTCAGGGTCTTGGTGAACAGCACCCCGCTCGATTAATCGACTGAATTTAAATTGCTCACACGGAGCATACAAGGCCCAACGTCGGCATGAGCATCTTCGTGTGTTACAACGTGGCCAGCGCCCCGAATCGCCATCTCCAAACAGTGCAAAGGTTCGAAGCAAAGTCCGGGGTCCTAGAGGGGTGGCGAATCATGCAAACTTAATAATGATCTAGATGACACATGTCAGATGGGTCTGAATCGAATCATCACGTACTAGTTTCCCGTGTATGATAACTCACCAATTGGCACGACCAGCCCAGCCCCTCCCCCACACCATGTCACACTGTGTCAGCACGGTGCCCAGCGTCGCCACGATAATCCAGAGTAGCATCCCGGGTGTGCAGCAATCTCCAAAGAGAGCATAGATTCGAAGCAAAAGTCCGGATTCTCCTCCTGTACAGTTCTGCAGTGTGAGAGGCAACACAAACTTACTTGTCGGAACAGATTCTGATAGTGATGTCAGATGACCGTAACGAGTACAAAAACCGAATCGAATCAACACCGAGTTTTCCTTGTATTGCATGCATGGCACCCTGTGCGCACGTGAGGCTTGTCCATAGCTAATGGTGATAACTCACCAATGAACACGACTGGCCCCTCCTACCATGCCATCCTCAATTGAATCCACTGTGTCAGTATAATTTCCAGCACCGAAACGAGGTGTATCGCGCCAGGGTCTTGTATAGCTCGATCCGAGTGCGCAGCAATCGAAAGAGACAGCACTGTATTCAGATGGCTCACACGGAGCATACGACACGAGTCGGCTGTTCAATCCCCATCGAGAGTGTACTCGTCGCAAAGTGAGTGTCAGGATATACGTGTTGCTGCCGCCGGTGTGTCCACGCGCCCTACGCCCCTCTTGGCCAAGTCCTTCACCCATGACCGCAAGACGTGCTTCATGACCTTCCCACTCGCCGTCTTCGGCAGCTCGTCAGGCACGCCATCTTCCCCCGCAAACCACACCCAAGCAGGGGCATTCTATTCCCACAGCTTCTCGGATCACCCAAAGCAGCAGCGAACACGGATAGACGTACCTGAGGGTTCATACCCCGCGCGACGAATTCACGGACGTCCTCGCGCGCGAAGTGCTGTGCGTTATCTTCCCGCACGATCCACGCGCCCACCACCTCGCCCAGAACTGGATCTGGCACCGCCACCGATGCAGCCTCGCTAATTGCGGGATGTGTCGCCAGGACGTTCTCGATCTGGACGGGGAACAGGTTCTCTCCGCCGCGTATGATGATGTCCTGCACAACGTCATTACACCGGCACCTGTCTGAACGAGGCTTTGCGTACCTTGATTCTGCCGACTACTGTACGTACGATAGATGAGCAAGGAGTAGCTAAACTCAACAGGAACCATACCTTTCAGGTACCCGTCTTCGTCCAGGATGCC